AGGGGAAAGCAAATCACAGGGAATTACAGTTATCTGGGATTTTAACAGGAGTGTACACGACAGCTCTGTAAAGCTGGGAGCCACAGGAACACTTCTTAAAACAAATATCTCAGCAGACCTTACTGCAGAGGTCACTTTTACAAACTTCCACTTGACTGAGCTGTGCATCTGTTCTGTTTGTACTGCCTGCAGACACTGCTATAAAGTACTGTACATTGATGTACCTGAGCGAAGGAGACAATGATATAACCATGCACTGTACAAGAGTTATTAAAATAGTTAAGTTATAAATCCATCTCCATCTCTCACTGGGTTTTCACAGTAGTTTGTCACTGAAAGTCTCAGAAACTCAGGAAAAGGTCTGAAACCACAGGTTTCCTTTTGGGCTTGGGGAGTGACATTGAACAGGAAGGGCGGTATGGCTTGGATAGCTGTGCTTTAAAAACAGAGGTGAAAATCTCACGCATGATAAGAATGAAGTACCAGAAAAGCTGCAAGCTGAACTCCTTTTCTGGTCTGGTCTAGTGGAAGGTATCCCCACCCATGGCAGGGGGTGGAACTGGATAATCTTTAAAGTCCCTTCCACCCCAAACCAGTCCGGGACTCTGTGATTCCATGACTCACAAGTGAGGCTCTCCTCTTCCTTGGCAACGAAACCAGTAACTACAAACCTGTTTCCTACACAGTCACAGAATTCAAGCAGGACTTAAACCTAAAGCTTCTTTGCATTATCTTTTCCTGGGTCGGGCAAAGCATGAAAAGGCTGTACAAAAGCACGTTCTTGCCTATCAGGAAGGGGAACTTCTGTGGCAGTTGTCCCAAGTGGAACAATATAGAAAGAAGAAACAGCATAACCCCATGACACAGCCAAGCGACAGATTCTCCAACATTTCCAGCCAAGGGCCGGCCATTCTCTGTCTCAGGTGAACAACCACAGTAACAAGATCACTTCCTCTACAGCCCAAATAAAGTTTAGGCAAACCAAGAGCCCAAAGCACCTGCCCTGCAGGGTCAGGGGCTCTCTCAGGAGCTGTACCCCACAAGCCATTCCGACTCTTGCCGTGACGGCAGGGGAGGGAGCACAGAGCGCTGAGCTCCTGCAGCGGGGCAGGACCGGCGCGGCTCCGAGCCTCCCCTCACGGCCGCCTCCCCTCAGGCCCTGCCTGCCGCCATCCTGCGGCACCGGCGGCGCCCGGGCCCTGCGGTCGTGAGGGACGGGTGGCTCGGGGACGGGTCGGGCGCCGTGCCGGCCGAGGGGAAGATCCCCGGGTGGTTCTGCGGACCGGAGATCCCGGGGCTGGAGATCCCGGAGCCAAGAGCCCCAGGACGCGCTGTGATGGGGACAATGGCGGCGTCAGGGTCGCCAAGGCGACCACCCGCCCCGACCCCCAGGGCCACGCAGCAGCCAATCAGAATCGTTCTCTCTGCCGCTGCCCCGCCTCGGCTCCTCCCGGCCGCCTCCGTCCCGTGTCCGCGCTCCTGATTGGTGGCTGCCGCTCAGTCGAGCTGGGATTGGCGGCGGGAGCGCGCGGGTCGCGGGTGCGCGCGCAGGCCGGTCCCCTCCGGGCACGCACCGTCCTTTAGAAGCGCGCGAGCCGCCACAGCCGCGGACATGTCGGTGTCCCCTGTGAAGAGGCAGAAGATGGAGTCGGCGCTGGACCAGCTCAAGCACCACACCACGGTGGTGGCCGACACCGGGGATTTCAACGGTGAGAGGCGGCGCGAGGGGATCCTGTCACCGCGTCTTCTCCTTAGCCCCCTCTCTCGCCCCCTTCACGGAGAGTGGGCGCGCCCGGCCGAAGGGACGCGCGCTGGGGGGAGCGAACCACCCTGCGGCCGGAGGGGGGACGGGGGGGAAGGCGCTCGGTGGCAGCGCCTTGGTCCCCGTGCCAGGGCAGATCCCGCCCAGCCAGGACGTTTTCCAGATCCTCCCGTGATCTTCTCCCAGTCTGCCCTCGAGTGTGCCCTGGGCACCACGTTCAGCTCTGTGTGCTGTCAGGAGAAAGTGCCAGACTCAAGCCGGGCTCTGCTGTGCTAATGAATTCAGGTTTTCTCTAGATCTGGAACTTGTTTAGGTTTTTTCCGAACTCGAGGCACAGCAACCCGGTCCAGTGGAGGATGTCGCTGCCCGTAGCAGGGAGTGGATCTAGACAATCTTTAAGGTCGCTTCCAACCCAATCATTACAGGATTCTGTAAAAATAATGCCAGAGTGCTTTTGTTTCCATTATCTCCTGAGAATGAGCCAGCACACTCCTTTCTGAGAAAGGGAGGTGGCCTTCGATTAAAAAGCCACTCGTTCCCGAGCTGTCACTGCTTGGCCTAGCACGGACACAGAACCTGCTCAGTCCATCAGAGCCAAGAATTCCCTCCCTGGGTGTCTGTGGGTTGTGTAGAGCAGCCCTCGAATCCTGTCCTGCCCTCACCCAGGCCTGCAGTAATCCCTCCACTGCTTGCCTAATCCTGTTGGTGTAACAGTAAACAATCCTAAATGGCCACTGTCAAATGTCTTAAGAGTACTAAACTTAAGGTGAAGACAGCACAGACATAGGAAAAAAACAAACCCCCAGGATGGCCAAGGGGGTGTTTGTGTGCAGGCAGCAGTAAGGATTGTAGAATATCCCATGTGGATCATCGAGTCCAGCTCCTGGCCCTGCTCAGGACATCCCCAAGTTGTTCTCTGGGCTGCTCTTATCACATGGGGGTTATTATTGGATTCCTAACAATGCAAGAGCCTTACCTGGCTCACTCCTGGCAGGTTAAACACTGCTGGAGGTGAAGGTGGTTGTTGCTGCTGCTGGTTCCAGTGGTGATTGTAGGTGTCAGAATGGAGTTTCATTGATATGCTGCTCTGCTTTAAGCAGTACCCACATGAACTGAAGTTCTGAAGGACTTGTTTGTATGGAGTAGACTTGTCTCCAGGATCCTGATCACTGCCTGGGAGGGATCTATGGAAAAACAAGGCTTATTTTTAGTACAGTTGCACTCTCTCACTTTGGTTTCATTCCCTGTCAGAAATGCCGAGGAGAAGGGGCTGGTAATACAGATTTTGTTATTTTTTTGACATTTTAACTGCATTGTTGAAACTGCTGAGTGGTCTGCAGAGGCTCTGCCCCATCTGCCCTGGTGCCAGGCTGTGATTACAGCCAGACAATGTGTGCCACAGCCTACTGGAACAAAACCTGGCATCACCTGGAACAGGCATAGTCCAGGGCTTAGGGTAAGACCAAGGGTCAAGTGTCTTCCTCGTAGGACAAGGAAATGAGAGGAGCAGATACTGAGAAACTGCAACTGTTCGGAAAAGGTTTAAAAAGCAGTTAGAAAAGGTGCTGGAGCCTCACAGGTGAATTCACCTGTCCTGGTCCCATCAGTTGGATACAAACAAAACCCAGAATCTCTGACTGCTTGAAGGGAAGGTCCCCTGTTCTTTATTCCCTTCTGTGGTTTCTAGAGCTCAGCTATGCTGGTTGGGATATGGTTTGGAAATCAGTACTACTCCTCTCCATCCATCATTTCTACAGGTTTATACTTTTGGGCAATTTCTGCAGTTTATAAACTTTAAAGTTTGCTGTATCTTGTGACTGCAGCCCAGTTGTTCTGTACTCTGGCACAAGCCAGCCTTGAGGCAGTGTTTAAACACCACTCGGTGCTGATGTGCTGTCATTAACAAGTGTTTACATTCTCACCTGGTTGAGCAAAATCCTTCTGATTTCTCAGGCTGGCTGGCTGTTTCAAACAGGCTGGGTTTCTTTCTTTAGCCATAGATGAGTACAAGCCCCTGGATGCCACCACAAACCCCTCCCTGATCCTTGCTGCGGCTCAGATGCCGGCATACCAGAAGCTTGTGGATGATGCTGTTGCCTACGGGAAGAAGCTTGGTGGGTAAGTAAAGAGGGGTTTAATCTCGGCAGACCTATATTTAAAATGCCTTATTTATATACAAGCAAAGTGCTGGGGTTCCCCCTCATGTACTTACAGGTTTGTCTCCTGCCCCAAAAGGCCTCAACACTTAGAAAAAATTCCTTATGCCCATTCCAGATGTGCTTTTAAGAAGTGCATTCCCATTTCCCAGTTCATACCTGGCCCTCCTTGCTCAGGAAAACAACAGCACTATAGGAAAGAGTGTCAAAGGCTAATCCTGCCAGCAGGACAGAAGTGGCTTATTTGAACTCTGGAATTTAATGTTAAACTGTCTGTGAAATTTGATCTTCAAATCCACAGCAAAGTGTAAACTCACCTTTTTTTTTTTACCTCCATAAATGCTTTTGCTCTTTGTGGTTTTCAGGTCAGAAGAGGAGCAGATCAAAAATGCTTCTGACAAACTTTTTGTATTATTTGGAGCTGAAATCCTGAAGAGGATACCTGGCCGTGTGTCCACAGAAGTAGATGCAAGGTTGGCTCTTTTCCCTCTGGGTTACCCTGGGTATTTGAAAATACAAAAAGTGACCTGATGTGAGTTAGAGGAAGATTTCGGGTTTTTTTGCCTAGAAGACCAGCAGGACTTACATTAATATTTAAGAGTGTGGATTTCCCTTAGTTTGACTAGAACTCTGTAACAAAAACAAATAGCACTGACCTTGGATTTTCATAATCTACCTGCTTAAGCAAGGGAAACTTCACACTTCCAGCTGTAGTTTTGTTCATTCTCTTCTATGTGATAATAGCTCCTCAATTTCACAAGAGATCTGTTTGAACAGTTTTTTTCAAGACTTGCACAGGACTTGGCTGTTGACTTGCTCTGTGCCAATTTTTGTTAATGCTCAGCTTCTGAATTCATTATGAGACACTTCCTTCTCCAAGGGCTGACAGTCCAGGAGGAATCTGAGAACACAAACCTGCCGTTGGCATGTAAATGCTGATAAAACAGGACAGTGTTTTTCCATGGGGCCCTGGGGGAGAGAATTAAAAAAAAAAATTCATTTTAAACAGTGCTACTCTTGCCTCAAAGGTTGTCCTTTGATAAGGAAGGAATGATTCAAAGGGCCAGGCGCCTCATCGACCTCTACAAGGAAGTAGGAGTTGGTAAAGATCGGATTCTGATCAAGCTCTCTTCGACCTGGGAAGGAATCCAGGCTGGCAGGTAAGGCTGTGTGTGCCTGCTGTGCTGATTCATGGCATGCTCCTGCCTGTCCACAGGCACTAACATTGCATTCTGCACTTGAATAAACAGCAGTGCTGAAAGCATGGCATGAGGAAGTCTGTCATGAGCACAGAAGGTGCTCTGCCACAGCTTGCTGTTGAAATAGGGAAAGTTTCTTCATACAAGAGCCAGGCCACAGTTTCCTGAAATACCCTGCTAAGCTGGCTGCACTTGGCTAGAGAACAGCATTAACAAAACAGAGTTTTGCAGCACAAAACATTTGCTGTTAGCTGACGAGTTTAAAGCTTACCGAGTGCGCCCCATTTGTAAATGAACTCAAGGAATTCAGTAGTTTGAACTTAGCTTGTTCCTGAATATGAACTCTGTAGGTGAGCAAAGTGCTGTTCTAAGCCAGCCTGTGTCTGCAGGGTTCTGGAGGCCGAGTATGGGATTCACTGCAACATGACCTTGCTGTTCTCCTTTGCTCAGGCTGTTGCCTGTGCTGAAGCTGGAGTTACTCTGATTTCCCCATTCGTGGGACGGATCCTGGACTGGTATGTTGCAAACGGAGACAAGAAAACCTACGAGCCTTCGGAGGATCCAGGTGAGCACGGATTTAACACTGCTGAGAAAACAACAGCTGCTCATTCCAACAGTTTACTCGTAAAAATCCTCTCATGGCAAAATGCTGGGTTTGAGCATGTTCTAAATAATCACTTACAATAAAGTTGCTGGTTTCTACTTGTAGGAGTGAAGAGTGTCACCAAGATCTATAACTACTACAAAAAGTTTGGCTACAAAACCATCGTGATGGGCGCCTCATTTCGCAACACTGGCCAGATCAAAGCGCTCACGGGCTGTGACTATCTCACCATCTCACCCAAGCTCCTGGCAGAGCTCAGCAAAGAGCATGTCAAGTTAACTCCCACACTCAGTGTCAAAGAGGGTGAGTCCAGTCCTAGAGGCTTGTTCTGTCTTCCTTTCTTCTGCAGTTTGAGGGTCTGGGGTTCCAGTCAGTGCTGTGGTACTTGCTGCCATCTTGCTTTAGGGATATATCAAATTTCCGAGAGGAAATATTGTAGCATCAGAAGGAAATACTGTAGCCTCTTTACAATATCACTGCTACAATGAGCACTAATACGGATTACAATGGTTTGGAGTGTTTCCATACTCTGCACCTCTCCCCATGGGAGAGAAGGGCGAGAAGAGGAAAATTAATCTACACATGCTCAGGATGAAATTTTACTGAACAGTAGCAAAGATGCCCAACTTGGTTTTATCTTAAGCTGTAGACATGCCAAGAGGTGTTTTCCCTCCAGAAATTAGAAAGGAAACATACACAAGACTGAGTGATTTGATCTGGTGACACTGCCACGATAGCTTGGAATCTTTGTTCCCATTACACTACTTCAAGCCCAGGTTGGATGGGGCTTGGAGCAGTCTGGGATAGTGGAAGTTGTCCCTGCTTGTGGCCAGGGAGTGGAACTGAATGGGCTTTAAGGTTCCTTTGCACCCAAATCATTCCAGGATTCTGTGATACTCTCCCTTTTCTGCAGCCTCATTAAAATGCTGGTTTACATCTCAGAAAGCAGCTCTGTGCACAGCTGTAGCCATGGGTTGCTGCCCACAGGCTGCTGTTGGCCTGGGAGCCTGTTATCAAGCGAGCTTTTGTTAGTTCTTGCCAAATAATCAAAGCCCTTATTGTTCAGAATATTTGCTTAGAATGTCTCACTGCTGCGGGGCAGTTGCACAATTCCTTAGAATAGGCCTGGAAATGCTGTGCCATTCAGCAGCAGGTACAAGATAATGACACACACAAACACTGTTAAGATACACTGATTTATTAGGCTACCTTTTTCCTCTTTGTTCCCCTCCAGCCATATCAGGAGCACTTTCAATCTCACATCCCAGATTGTGTTCCTGCAGCAAGTCATACTGAAAGTATTTAAAATTTTTCCAACACCTAGAAATGGTCAGAACTCAAGACAATTTTAAGAAGTCTGAATTTTATAAGAATCTAATCACCTGCTCTGTTTCTTTTTCTACTTCTCCTGCACAGCTCAGGCCTGTGATCTTGAGAAGATCCACCTGGATGAGAAGGCATTCCGCTGGCACCACAACGAAGACCAAATGGCTGTGGAAAAGCTCTCTGATGGGATCAGGAGATTTGCTGCAGATGCAGTTAAGCTGGAGAGGATGTTAAAGGTAGATATCACGTTCCTCCCATGTACTGCAGCCAGCCTGGTGTGACTGAGGATTAAACTAGTCTGGTCAGGCCTTTGGACAAGTTATGTACAACAGGCCACTTGAATTCAGGGAACTTGGTAAGCTTCACTGCATGCCAAGAAAGAATTCGTACCAGGTGTGGGTCACACCTGCAGTTTGAGGCCATAGGACTGGCAGCTCATCAGGATAACTGTCAAAGCGAGAAGTCCCTTAAATCTGATTCTGAGCTGTCAGCAGTACAGGACACAAATAATCTTCAGGTAGTGAGCTGGAAATAAATCATGTTTGTACTTGGAGGCATTAAGAAAGAGCAGATCTGCTGTCAAAGTTGTATGTCAGATTGTGGAGAGGCTTTCAAACAGGATCCATCAAACCGTGTTTTTTGGGGAAGAAATACTGATTATAAGTATACCTGATCTAGGCACTTGGTGACTGGCAACTCCTTGCAGCATTCCCAGACTCTTACTCAGCTGTGCTTTATTTCTTTTCTAGGAGCGAATGTTCAGCACTGAAAATGGAAAATAAAAGAAGAAAAAATAATAATCAGCATTTCCCTGAGTGCTCTAAGCTGAGGTGGATCACCTGAGGTTCAGTGGATGTACAAATGTCTTACCTGTACAAGTATCATGCTGTGTATGGATAGATTTCTGTATCATGCTTTTTTTTTATCAATTTGCAAAGGGACAAATGGAATTTCAAATTTTTGTGGCACTTTTGTCAATACATGCAAATTAAAACCGACTTGCCTTGTAACACAGTCAATTCATTGTTGCAGAAGACACCTGATAGGATTTCAATTTTCAAATTCCTAATTAAGTCTTAAGTCCTAACACATTGAAGAAAACAGTTTTTAATTTCAGGTTGTTTTAAAGGGCAAACACAGGTTTCACAAGCCCCTCTTGGTACAAAACCCACAAATACTCCTGTGAGACATATATATGTCAATATATATATATGTGTATCTTACTAGTTTATATAGATCCTGTTCTATGAAGAGTAGACAAGAACAAGTGATAGGACAAGAAGGAAATGGCTTCAGGTTGTGCCAGGGAAGATTTAGATTGGATATCAGGGAACATTTCTTCACTGAAAGCTGTCCAAGCTGGCACAGCTGCCCAGGGCAGTGGCTGAGTCCCCGTCCCTGGAGAGATTTAAAAGGCACCTGGGGACAGGAATAGTGGTGGCCTTGGCAGTGCTGGGGGAATGGCAACCCCAGTGATTCATTCTAAGACACCCCTGCTTATACATGGATGCAATTTGCTGTTTCCTGACAAAGTTGCCTGAACTTTAAAAATAGTGAGGAAAGGCAGCAGTGTGGCTCCAGCCTGACAGACACATGCTGTGTCCAGACCAATGGAGGCACTGAGCCCTCAGCCCAGTGTGACACAGCAGCTCTGCCGTCAGCACATCCAGAACAACCTGGGAGCTGCTGTTCCAGCCAAAGGGACAGCCAGCTACAATCACACACAGACAGCTGGTGCTGCACTTCCAGCCTGCCCTGGGAATTGTGCCAGTCTACCAGAGAGGTGAAATCCACAGGGGACTCATCCACACCCTCTGTCCTACAGCTGTTGGGGAGGGGGGAAGAAGCCCAGGCAGAAAGCAGGCTGCCCAAAGGGAGGTGACCTTTTTTCATGTCAAAGTCAAGCCAGCACTAAAAGCTTGACCCTGCCCCTCCCTACGGCTTCTCAATATAACCTATTTTGCATTTTTCACTCTTACTAAACTGAGAATTCCATCAGAGATTCCTAGAATGGTTTGGGTTGGAAGGGGACCTTGAAGACCATCTCATTCCACCCCTCTGTCATGAGCAGGTTGCTGTGCTCTAACACCATACACTGCACTCACCAGGGCAGCGTAGGGATTTGGGCACACACAATTTGAGGACTTGATGCTATTAAATTGGCTGGTCAGAGGCTTGGAGCCTCTGGAATAAATGCCCCTTTTACCCCTGAGTGGGTCAAGACCCTTCATGGAATCTGTCCCCTCACGTAGCTGAGACACAGCTGGGGCAGTAACACTGTGGAGCTCAAATGAAACTAAAGCATTTTAGAAGGTGCTCAAAAGAGAATGAAACACTTCAGTGAAAGGGGATAAAGAGGTAGGAAAAGGTGCCTGAGTAACAGTTAAGCTTTACTCCACTTACCAACAGACACCTCTCAAGAGGGGGCAAGAGGTGAACAAGTTATGCTTAAAATGTTCAGTCACGAGGTCTCTTCCCTGCTGTGGTGGCAGCTGGTGTTTCCTCCTCAGCATTGGGGTTCTTTGCAGCACAGATGGATGTTGTGAGGTGCCTGACATCCGTGGCTAAGCCACAAAGTCCACATCCTTTCTGAAATGGTGAAAAAACAAGCACCACATAAACCTTCAGCCTGTACAGCTCTTTATCAGACACACAAAGGGTGTTTACTCCTTAACCTCTTCCTCAACTTCCCCTTTCTTCAGCAGATGGAGGGATCTCTCCCAGGGCCCTGTTTGTGCCCTACTTACAAACTCCTGGGATTTCCCAGATCTCCATACTTCCTCAGATTAAGAAATCAGGAGATGTCTCTTGTCTCCCAGAAAGATCTGTGGCTCTCATAGTCACAAGGACAGGACTCAGGAATTAGGGGAAGATACAAGATTTGGAGAAATCCCAAAGACTCAATAAATAAACTTTAAAGCACATTGATTTAAAAATGACAGCACCTTTCCCAGCCTTTCCTTGTGGTGGCTGTTCTCTGATTCCAACATCCAGCTCTGTGTAAACACACAAAGCTTGGAAGGGAGTTGGAAAAGCTTTTCCTTCCTCCTCCAGCTGTGCCTTGCATCCCATCACACACTGTGCTAAGGGAGACACACTGCTGCTCCCAGCATGTCCTCCGTTCTTGAAAAAGGGTACAGGAAAGCAGAGCTGTTGGAAGAACAGACACAATGATACATTCATCCTCCCAACATGGAATTTAATTAAAATTAGCCCTTAGATTCACTGGTTATGTCTATTCAACACAGCCATCACAGGCCAGTATGGATGGCATCAAACCCAGACAGTTCCATTTGAAATTTTAAGGTAAATCAGGACCAAAGAGCCACTTCCATCTCTTCTGGCCCTTGTTTGAATGCACACAAGATGAATAAAGCAGCAGGTTCCATTAGAAAAAAATTAAGTTTATTTTTACAAGATTATACTATGAAGGCTCCAAGGAAAGAATCTTAATTAAATATGTTAATACACAAATAGAATGCTGGTATGACCAACAACCATCAGCTGCAGACAGGGCCAGAGTTAAAACATCTTGTCAGGATCCCCAAAAACTTGAAAACTGAGATCATACCCACAGACAGGGGGCTCTGTTTTCCAGAGTTAAGCAGTTTCCTAACTGCTGCACCAGCACCCCTCTTCTAGTCTGGGTGTAAACCTGCCAGGAAAGGCTCCCATACCTTGGAGATGGTGGGCTGTCCTCTTTTTGGTGAAGAAATCCTTTGTGGGGTGCAGGACAGAAGTGCTCCTTTACAGCTGTGAGCTAACATCCAAGAAAACTCCTCATCCCTTTGGATTTATCCTGCTCCATGTGCTGCAGAGGCACTCTGATGCTTCTAGCAGGTACCTCCATATCTGCCTGTGAAAATATCAGAAAAAAACAGAGGATATGGCCCAGAAAAGATGTAGCACTGTGAGTCCCAAAAAAATAAATCAGTACAACCCTAGAAAAGAAAAAAACCCCACTCAAATAAATAAAACAATAAAACCCACCAGCTGGATGTTACCAGGAACAGATTTCCAAGGAAACAAGCCTGGCTGGTAATATTCCTAGGACCAAAGCACCAAGCACTGCACAGTGGAATGCTGAAACAATAAAGGTTTGTGTGGGATGAAAATAAGCCAAATTTGAAGGTTTTCAATTCTTTGGGAAGCAGTCTCTGCCCTGGAGACAAAAACCCCTCAGTACAAACACCACTGCTTGGATGCCTGGGATGGGATTGTTCACAGGGCTACTCAGCTGGATCAGGCACAAGGTACAGAAGATACAAACTGAGGTATCTAAATTCTTCCCATAGGAAGTTTGAAAGTCAAGAATTATCCAAAAATCCTTGCTCTTTGTGTAATGCCACTTCATTATTTTAGTTGATGTAAATAATTTTTACATAAAAGAAAATAACAAACTATCAAGTTTTAAGTTTGTAGAACAAAATTAACACAGAAAACAAAGAGAATAAAACTTTCTTGAACATACCTGGACGACATTCAACAACTTTGTGTCTTCTGTGTTCATTTGATCTATTTTCCCACAGTTTTTTAACAATTTTTTCCAATCCCTGGCTTAAATTGGTAATACTGTACAAGAACTTAAGAGCTATTGTCACTAATGGCCTCAAGTTGTGCCAGGAGAAGTTTAGGTTGGATATTAGGGAAAATTTCTTCATGGAAAGGGACATCAAGCACTGGAACAGGGCAGTGGTGGGGTCACCATCCCTGGAAGGGTTCAGAAAACACGTGGATGTGATACCTGGGGTTAAGTGGTGAACATGGTGGTGGTGCTGCACTGATGCTTGGACTCAATCTTAAAAGCTCTTTTCCAACCTAAATTCCAGGATTCTGTGACTCAGGTGGCTCCCAGTTTGTCAGCATGACTTGTGAAGGTGACACAATCCAGCCTACCACGTCCAGAGCCACCTCACAAAGCTGTCAGCCCACACCTGCACACGTCACCTCTTCAGCCACTTTATCCCCCAATTTTCCCAAGAGCAACTTCATGGCTGAGGAGATAAAAGTGGATGTGTGATGGAAGAGTGAAAATACACACAGGAACTCATCTTTTTTCTGCTCTCATATGGGAGGAAAAACAAAGCACCATCAAGTCCCCAGGCAGGGTACTTTGTCCAACTGTTTGCCTCCCAACAGAGGCACAAGCAGAGCAATTCCAGCAGGTCCTGGATGCCAAAAAAAAGGAAAAATTGTACAACAGGGCACTGATCAAAGCCTGTAATGGTCTGAATGCTGTTTGCTCACCTGGCAGCAGATGAATGAGCCTTGACAGAGCCTAATTTAAGGAATGAAAACAGGACACAGGGTAGACACCAATATTCTATTTTTACAGGTAAGCAGTGAAAGATGTAGCGATTTTGGCAAAATCCCACAGAAACAAAATCCATAAGGAAATACAGTCTCCCACTTCACAAACAAGCTGTGGCTTTCCAGACTGAAAGTATTCCCTGATGGTGTCAACATCAAGTCCCCTAGATGGTTTGTCAGGAATGAAGATTTAAATTATCAAAGCTAATTGATAATTTAATTTCTATCAAAGCCCAATTTTAATTTCAAATTCTGTTTTTAATTTTCATCAGTGCCAAAGACCTCTAAGATGGGCTCCAGAATGCAACATCAGAAGACCCAGTGAAATCCACAGGAGTCTGTCTTTTAAAATTACACTGAATTCTTGAGACAGAGCTAAAAAATGGATTT